AGTTCTGTTAGCTGAAAAAACTTCAGCGAACATCAAAATAAAAGTGACATATAAAGTTAAGGAAGCCAGTTCTCTCAGTTTAACAAAGAGGAATATGAGTATATATGAAGATGCATGTAAACAGATAGAATGAAGTCCCTATGTCTATGCACTTTTACTATATGGCCTGTTTATCTTGACCAGGAAAAAAAATAAATCAGTAGAATTCATAAAAATGTCTCTTTATACGAAGTTAAGTTGTAATATGTTATTTAGTATTGGAATAAGTGACAGATACAAGTCCTAAAGTAAACACAAATTGTCAATCAATTCAACCAGAAAAGCCGGGATCCTATTTAAAAAAAATAGGATCCCGGAAATTGACCAGTTCAAGAATATAGTTTTCAGAAAAGTCGGGATCATATTTAAAAATAAAGCGATTCCAGGAATTGGACAGTTCAAGAATATTGTTTTCAGAAAAGCTGGGATCGTATTAAAACATATAGGGATCCCGGGATTTGACCAATTCAAGAATATAGTCTTTGATTTTTCCAATTAATTAGGCATATAATTGTAAGTATTGTGATTTTGTTAATAAATACCTCTAAAAATATGTATATCCTAGGTTAAATCAATTTAACTTTCATTTCATACAATAAGAAATAACTTAACGTTTAATGGTTTTTCATTACGACAATAATCAACACAAATATAGTTTATTAGTTTTTTCCTCTATTATCTTATACGATCCCGGATCCCGGGCGTCCCGGATCCCGGCCAGTAAATACATACACTAAATATCGGAAAGGATGAAATGACCGGAAAAAAGGAAAAAGAAAAAAATGCACAAGACCAGATATCGTTTATGTTAATCAACCAAACGAAAACTTTCTACAGAGTAAATAGGACTGGTGAAATCAATAAATCAAAAGTCAGTGTAAATATGATTTACTGAAAAGTATCCATGAAAACAAACATTTTAATCATCATTATATCTTTGCGCTCAAAACAATACTTGCTGCTTTTTAAAAATGGCGTGAAAATTGAAGGTTTTTTGACGCTATATAAGATCAAATTTGATTGGCTAAATAATTTGGATCCTAGCTTTAATAGATGATTTTTGTAGAAAGCTGGAAGCTAAGCTTTGATTAAATTTTTGGATGGATTCGGAGTTTTAGGTTGTTTCTCAGTAAAATCCTAACGTAATACCGGCTCGCCGTGGCGAGCCGGCATCAAAATATCGTTATCCGTGAAAGTTGATTTTTGTTTGAAAAAAAAATTAAGAGTGATTTTTAACAAATTAACTTGAAATAACAGAGTCAATTTTTAATAGGCAATATGACAATTAACATGAACCTGGAGGCGTGCTGTTTAAATGGTTCATATGATTACACATTCATTTCAGGTGATTATAATGCTCTTACCTCAAAAATGGCAGATTATAATGTAAACGATTAGTAATAATAATATCGGGGGAGAATACAGTCGCCGCCTTGTCCGTCCGTCCGTCTTTCCGAACAAACCAGAGCTACATTATGGGATTTTGTCTATTGTTCTCATAACAAAAGATGTCTTTGATGTCATTCATTCCGTTTCTCTTGTGGGGTTATTTTTCTGCAATGTGGGGTTAATAAAAACAAAAGAAATAACAAAAAAACCATAATGTAGCTCTGGTCCGTCCGTCCTCTTTTCTTGTCCGGGAAATAACTTTGAAACAACAAGAGGTATCAGCATGAAAATTTGTAGGTGGATAGATTTCATTGAGTAGTTGTGCAGTACACAAGAACCGTAACTCTGCCTAGCCTAATTTTCTAATTATCCTATTTGTTTTTTTACACTTTGAACACTGTCCGGGACATAACTCTTAAAGTATAAGAGGTATCAACATGAAACTTTGCAGGTAGATATACCTCAATTGGTACGTGTGCAGTAAACAAGAATTGTAACTTTGCTCTGCCTTATTTTTGAATATTCCCCCTTTGTTAGCTCACCAGAGCCGAAGGCTCAGTGTGAGCTATTAGTATCAAAGGGGGATGCTCCGGCGTCAATCGTCCGTCGTCATGCGTCAACAATCATCTTCTCCTCTGAAACTACTGGGCAGATTTACTTCAAATTTGGTCTGTAGTATCCTTGTGACAGTCACACTTGAATTTGCTCATGTCATTCCAATTGGCCCCTTTAAGGGGTCAGTAGAGCTAAAAATAGAAAAACATTTTAACATCTTCTTCTACAGAACTAATTGATGGATGATCACCAAACTTTGTCTGTAGCATTCTTAGGTAGTCTTTTATCAAGTTTGCTAATATTATTTTCATTGGCCCTTTTTAGGGGTCCCTAGGGCTAAAAATATAAAAAAAAAACCTTTAAACATTTTCTCCTACAGAACAAATTGATGGATGATCACCAAACTTTGTCTGTAGCATTCTTGGGTAGTGTTTTATCAAGTTTGCTCATATTATTTTGATTGGCCCCTTTTAGGGGCCTTTAAAGCTAAAAATAGATATACTGTTAAATGTCTATTTCTAGAGAACTAATAAATGGATGATCACCAACGTTTGTCTGTAGCATTTTTGGGTAATCTTTTATCAAGTTTGTTAATATTATTTTGATTGGCACCTTTTACGGGCCGCAAAAGCTAAAAATAGAAATACCTTGAAATGTCTATTTCTACAGAACTAATTGATGGATGATCACCAAATTTTGTCGGCAGCATTCTCGGGTAGTGTTTTATCAAGTTAACTCATATTAATTTGTCTGGCCCCTTTAGGGGCCTGTAAAGCTAAAAATAGAAATAAAGTTAAATGTCTTTTTCTAGAGAACTAATTGATGGATGATCACCAAACTTTGTCTGTAGCATTTTTGGGTAGTCATTTATCAAGTTTGCCAATATTATTTTGATTGGCCCCTTTAAGGGGCTGCAAAAGCAAAAAAAAAATAGAAATACCTTTAAATGTCTATTTCTACAGAACTAATTGATGGATGATCACCAAACTTTGTCTATAGCATTCTATGGTAATCTTTTATCAAGTTTGATCACAGTTATTTGATTGGCCCCATTTAGGGGTCTCTAGGGCTAACAATAGAAAAACATTTAAACGTATCCTACTTCAGAAGAATGTGATGGATGATCAACAAACTTTGTCTGTAGCACTCTTTGGTACTCTTTTATCAAGTTTGCTTATATTAAACTGATTAGCCCCTTTTAGGTACCACTTATGCTAAAAATAGAAAAAAAACCTTCGAACATCATTTCCTACTGAAATAATTGATAGATGATCACCAAACTTTGTAGCATTCTTAGGTAGTCTTTTATCAAGTTTTCTGATATTAATTTGATTAGCCCTGTTTAAGCTAAAGCTTAAATGCCCCAGGTCATGACATTTCTTCAAATTATTGTTTAAACATATTCTCAAGGTTAATATGAGAATATATTCACATTCCAACACTGAAAAGCAGTTGTTAATGGTGAGCGACTGAGGGCCATCATGGCCCTCTTGTTTATATTTACACATTGAACATTTTCCGGGAAAAACTCTAAAATTATAAGTGGTATCAACATGAAAATTTGTAGGTAGAAAGATCTCATTGGGTAGGTGTGTAGTGCATAAGAATAGTAACTCTGCCTTGCCTATTTTTTAATTATTTTCCTTTGTTTATTTTAACACTTTGAACATTGTCCAGGACATATATTTAAAACTATAAGAGGTATCAACATGAAACCTTGTAGGTAGATAGATTTCATTAAGGTTGTGTGCAGTGCACAAGAACCGTTACTCTGCCTTTCCTTATTTTTTTAATTATCCCCCTTTGTTTATTTTCACACTGAACTGTGTCAAGGACATAACTCTAAAACAATAAGAGGTATCAACATGAAACTTTGTAGGTAGATAGATCTTATTAAGTAGATGTGCAGTGCACAAGAACTGTAACACTGTCTTGCCTACTTTTGGAGTTATTACCCTTTGTTCATTTTAACACTTTAAACTTTGTCCGGGACATTTCTCATAAATTTTAAGAGATATCAAAATGAAACTTTGTAGATAGATAGGTCTCATCGGGTAAAAGTGCAGTGCTAAAGAATCATTACTCTACATTGCTTTATTTTGAAGTAATTGCCCTTTGTTTATGTTACTTTTTAACTTTTGTCCGTTACATAACTTTAAATCTATTAGAGATATCAACATGGAACTTTGTAGGTAGCTATATACCATTGGATAGAGCTGCAATGCTTAAAGAACCTAAACAAAGCCAAGTCTAATTTTGGAGTTATTGCCCTTTGTTCATTTTTACACTTTGAATTTAACACGGGACATAACTCTGAAAGTAGAAGAGATATCATCAGGATAGATAGATAGATCTCATGAAATAGAAGTTCAATGCAAAAAAAACATGACTCCGCCTTGCCTAACTTTAGAGTTTCTGCCCTTTGTTCATTTTTTTATACTTTCATGTGTCCAGAACCTTCTTCACTCTGTTCAACCGGTTCTTGTTATTTTTTCAATCCTGACCCAAAGGCAGCTGGTGCGTGGCTTGGATAGTATACATGTACATGACCACGCCCACTAATTTTTATAAAAAACATTTTTTTCACTTACAGAATATTTTTTCACTCAAAATGTTTTCAAAATATCTCATTTTTAATAAAAAAGGAAAGTTGTTTTTAAAAATGTGTCCATTAATACTATAAATATAGTAAAAGTAGAAAGATACGCAAACAGAACTACCATAAGGCCTTTTTTTACCTTCCAGATCTTTGTTAATTTTCAACTAATTTTTTATCAAAACAAGTGCAATTTTCGCAGAAATGATTTTTTTTACGAAACATGTAAATATTAGATCAGTTGGTACCACAAAAGATGGAATTTTCAAGCGAAAATGCACTTTTGTCTAGGTCGGACATCGCTTGACAGAGCCGAAAGAAGACGGTTTTTCAAGCTGAAAAGCTAAACTTAATCAAAGTCAATTGGCGTTTTCCCACAGAAAGAATGACCTTTTGAGACACTCTGGCATTGATGATGTAATTCATTTATTTCAAAGTTATAACTTTCTTAATAATTATAAAACCAAAACCAAATTTCAAGCCATCGTACGGCATTGACCTCATAAGGTATTTTTGTTGGTATTATAAACTGTAAGCTCACATTCTTGTTGTAATGGCTTGAGCATAATAAAGGTTATATTGTTGTTGTTGCTGCTGCTGCTGCTGCTGCAATTACTACTTCTGCTGCTGTTGTTGTTGTTGTTGCTGTTGTTGTTGTTGTTGTTATTTTTGTAAATGAATTATATCACCTTTTTAGAATCAACACCAACCAGGACTCAAAATCGTCTTACTTATTCGGTACAGTGACGTTATTTCTTTCACATTTGAATAATTCGCTGGGACTTGAGTATCGCGATATAGGTTTAACATGCGTTTTAATTCTTCTACGATGTCAATATTTTTTTCGGCGATGTCTTCCTGTTCAAACGGATCTTCTAGAATATACAACGTTTATAAGAGCATTTTCAGTTGAAATTTAGAATATATATAATTCATTGATAATAAGATTTTGTTAAAACTTCCAATCTCGTTGTTGAATACATTTCTACTCTCTCTATTCATTTTAATGATTTGAAAAACAAAACTTGCAAAGAAACAACATTATATTATAAAAGTTTCAATGACATTTTGTAAATACTTACTTTCTATGTCAAATAACCGCAGTACTTTCCATCGATTATCTAAGTCAGGTTTTTGGCCATACATAAGCTTAAAATTTCTAAACCTGTAACAATAACAATTATTATAATAGCAGTTATGAAGGCTACTAATAATTTTCCCTGTATTTTTATAAACCTTCCTATTTAACAATTATATTTAACATTCTTTATTAAAACAATGTTTTATTAATCTATCTGGTAAATTAGTTGATAAATAATGCGGAGTTGGTATCAGCTTTATTAGCCTATTTTAAGTTACTTCTTTCTCTTAAATTATTTACGTTTTTTTATTTATGGAACTTGTACTTGTGGCCAATTTAGCATGCTTATGACCCTTATAGGGATTGAATGCTATCTCTCGGGTTGCGGTAAACATGTTAAAGTTCTTGACCACCACTCACCTTTATCAACAGTTGACAAATCTGTTAATTTTAAGTTGTTTCAATTTGCATTATGCTTTCTCGTGTTATTGTTATTTTAAAATTATGAAAATAATTGCATTCAAGTTATGTTATCGTCTTACTAGCACATTTACCTGTCTACAATATCTTGTCACAACACTAAAGTTGTGATCTTTTGGTTCATTTGCAATGCCTTTTTCTTGACGAATATAAATTTATACATTCACTAACCTATATGCCCACCTATCTTGAATGTCGTCTATACAGTACACAAAATCTTCCCGAGAAGATCTCCTCCCTTCACTGATTGTCTTCCATTGGTTCACACCATCCAACGAACGATCTATCATTTAAAACGATGTTAATTTTCTAATTATATTTAGAGGCTTGGTTACGTTGAAACATGACTTTGCTCCATACGTTCACCACAATTTCAAAAAACGGTTTACAAAAATAAAGAACATACATTTAGGCATGTTTACAGGTTATTTCTCTTACCACCGGCAATACTACGATAATACTGATAGAAAAATTTAATTAAACAATCTACAATTAGTAGGACAGAATTATAGGTGACGTAAAGAACATTCCATATTGTAGAAATTATAGGTCATTGAGTGAAGTGAAGATAAAGTAAAGATTTCTTACCTGGTGTACCTCCAGCAACATGTAAGAGTGTAGGGAACCAGTCAACTGCATGTATCATTCTGAAGGAAGCGCAAATATATCAAACAGCGAAAACTATTCTAAAGTAAGAATGCAATGTTTGATTCCAAATTTGCAATATCGTATAAAAAAACAACTTTATTCTTGGCATGTGCCAAGTAAGCACACTATTCCATTGTAAATGAAGTTGGAAGATGTATGCAAATAATTATGATTTTTTTCTATCATGCAACTGTCCTGTGGTATAGAAGTAATGGTAAAACACGATTTTAATTTGTAAAATTTTTACATCTTCATATGTATATATATATTTATATTTATATTTGGTTCTTACCTTTGGTTGATGAAAGTTTTTATTTATGATTATTAGAGTTTTAGAATAAACACAGGCTCTCTTAAATTTTCTGAATGAAAGATATACCATGTACATTTGTAAAGCAGAAATTTGAAAATAACAAAAAAATTGTGAAGTAGATACGCAGTATGTGTGTAAAATGTGGCTTACAAAAGAGAGTTACCTCATAATCATCATATTTTGTTGTAATTCAAAATGTAATAAATAAATTAGCATATACGGCTTCTTAGACATAATTCTTATCTCATTTATAAACATGTTTTTGAAACTATTTGCCTTCCGAAGTCAACCTTGAAGATAACAACGTTCGCTACAAGATACTAGATTATGTTTCGTCGATATTTGTTAACATAAAGACGAATGATTTACGTGATTATTTTGATATTACTGGAAATTTACCGAATTTTAGTTAGAAATAATATTTACCAAACTGTGATTTGAATTTCATAATCACTTGATAAAATCACTGTTTATCGTTCGGATGCGGAGGTTATATCACGAGGGCGTGGCCCGAGTGATATAATGATGCGCATCCAAACGACAAACAGTGATTTTATCAAGTGATAAAATCACCGGTTTGGATATATAAGCGCGTTGCATTTTTAGTGGCACGTCACATGTCTAAATATAGAACGTAAGCAGTGATTTTATTGCATAATACTACACACATTAGATCGTCCTCTGTAAAATATCGAAAAGATTTCAAGCAACTTGTAAAAACGAGGGTCATTCAATTAGTTCTGATAATGGCTTTATTGTAAGAAAACTATAAGTAATAAACACCTACCGTATCTACATTTTTTCAAAGTAACTATCGGTGTTTCAGACAACCGCTTTCAATCTGTCCAAAATATCGGCAACTCCCGTTGCTAGACTATCGCGTGATATACGTAGAAGCTCTGTGGCCATGGCAACTTTAGGTTTCTGTAAATCATTAAATCTGACACCCTTGAGCCGCATTTTGAATTTAGGAAAAAGGTCACAGGGACTCATGTCCGACGAATAAGGGGGGAGGTTAGATAACATTTCCTATTCCTCATATACTTAAGTTTTTACGGTGTTTAATGCAGAGTTGCATTGTCATGAATTAACAGAACCCCTGACTTCAAGAGCGCTTGTCATTTTTTACTGATAGCTAGAGAATTGTAACTTCAATTTGGGTTAATATATACGAAACCATGTTTCATCTATTCCCACAATGCGGATTAATTACTGTTTGACTACATTTTTATATCCTTTGAGCGATTTTCTGCAATCACTAACAAGTTTGTCATTTGGTTCCGTGTGAGGTGATGTGGCACCCATCTTGCAGAAACTCGACGCATTCGCAAATGGCGTGTCAGAATTGCATGAATTGAATCATCTGAAATACCAATAACACTTCGTTTGCGTGTTAAGCGCCTATCAATATTCAATACTTTTAAACTTTCTCAATATGGAACTTGTCTGTAACCTCCACTGGCCATCCGCTACGGGAGTTATCGGCACATCTGATTTTCTATCACTAAAGTGCCTAATCGATCTAAAACTCTATCAAATAAAACAGCAGATAGATTGCAGGCTTCACATAACTGTCCATGGATTTCCTTTCACCATTTTCCCTCTTAAAAACTCTATCTTTATACTTACACACTGTTCATCTAAGCTTTCCGCAGCCATTACGCTTGAGCGCCGATCAAATGACGTCATATGTATGTGACGCGTTCTACGTTAATTAGTAGCTTAATAATATTTGTCACTCATACATAGTTTTACAATTTTAAAATGAAAGACAAAAACGCTATTGGGTCATTACCAGAACTAATTGAATGATCCTCGTATATAGAATAAAGTCTTACTCTTTATTAACATAACTCGATTTTTTTAAGAAGGTTGGACTGTAAACGAATGCTACTCCCCTCGTTCCACCTTCCCATAACGATCCTTTATAGCCTCGAAGTGGTAAATTGCTTCCAGCATAGTAATGCCCTCCATTCTGGTTATTTTTGCAAAAAGCACAAAGGCGACATTAAGTGCAAGAGTGGCATTATACTAAGTGGTTATCATAATAGTGATTGACAAAGTAATTAATAATGAAAAATGTTATGGAAAAAATGATATTTGAAAAAAAACACTACATAAATTATAAAAAGTCTGTCCCCGTCTTTTAAATGATTGAACGTGTACAATACATTCCGAATGATTTCTATAGAAATGTCTGTAGGTCACTTGGATTATTGATTATTTTTTGTTTTGCCCCGTAAAATAAATCTAATACAATTGTAGCAAAATACAAAGATATTTTGACACTTACCTTTGCTCACAAAATCTAGACTAGGATGGTCATATTGTCACTTTAAGTTATAAGAATAATATGAATACAGTGTCGCTTTTCAAAATTCAATTCGTTTAAACGAAATATTAATTCTTTTAATATACGAAAAATTGATTCATAAAAAAGAAATATTTTTGTAATTGCGAAATAATATTTCGTTAATACGAAATTATGTATCGTAAAAACTCCTCCGTGGTCGAGGGGTTAGAGTCGATGACTTCTTATCCAGTTACCTCTCTGGCGTGGGTTCGATCCCCGGGAGATGCTTTGGTAGTTTAGCGCGGAGGAAGGTTGTCTAGTACTGGTGTAACTCTCCAGGAACGAGGGTTAGGAAACTACCCGCCTATATGACTGAAATACTGTTGAAAGAGGCGTAAAATGAAACAAACAAACATGTATCGTAAAAACGAACTTTTTTTTCTACAATTCTAAACGGTTATTGTTTTCGTTATATTTATAAAGAATGCCTTGAAACTAAGTTACTGACTAAATATAAGGCATAAAAATGCAACATAAATATTGTGTGTGTTTTTTTTTTCTCCCCAAGTTTTAACACTAAATTAACACTATTGTTTATTAATTAAAATAATCGCCTGTCAATAGTGTTGCCGCCACAGCCGTGATAGAACTTGCGCTAGGAAAAAATTTGTTAAAATGGGGGTCCTGTACTTAAAATTTAAACACGGATATTTTTGAGTTTTGAAATAAAATATTATGTTTTATGATCGCATGGTGCCCTTACATAATTTTTAAGGAAGTTTACTTTTTTAAAATTGATAACATTAGTGACAATCTGGAGCCCCTTTAGTTTTACTAATGTATCTGATAAGAGATACATATATGATAATATAGCGTGTTTCTTTTTAAAAGAAACATGTCAGAAAAGATTAATTGCCTCAAAAATTAAAACATTTCTGATGGAAAAATGTATATGACAATGCGGAAAAAGAGGATATTTTGGATTGACAATGTCGTCTCACTCAAAAAACTCTGTTCAGTAAAACAAAATAACTTGAAATCTATTTGGCCTATCATCACAAGGTTGCTCAAGATTTGTTAATGACCCCTTTGCAAAAGAGATTATTTTATTAGTTTTTGTCGATCCAACAATGACTTAAAATAAGATTTCGTAAAAACGAATTAACCCTTTACCACATATATACGCGAAACAACGCACTTTCGACCCCCCCCCCTTTTTTGGGCCTCAAATAGGAAAAAAATGTCCTATTTGGGCCCCAAACATAAGTTTTCGTTTGAGAAATGTTGCTAAAAAAATTGAGCACTTTTTCGGCGCCGCCCCCCATCCAAAAGATACATCAGGGGGTTGCCAGAAGGGGGATGTGCCCCCTTCTGTTAGGAGGGGTTTGAAGGGGGGCGGAGTCCCCTTCATCGCCAAGAAAATTTTGGACTTGTGAGAGGCTAAAAATGACCCCAGGTCGATCATAATGTAACGTTTAACCAACGCTGAAAAGCCTTTGACTCTATCTCAATCCCTTGAGAACTTGCAGCACTTTGAAATAAATTTTGATGGAAAAAATCGAGGCAAAATAGGCAATTTTGAGATGCCCCCTCGTTGCTATGGTAACAGGAAATTTAAGACTGAGCATGTCGTTACAAAGGCAATGGTCCAGTCAACATTTATGCCAAGTTTGATTAGTATTGAAGCATTTTTCATAGTTTCATAGCAGTTTGAACTTGTAACAGGAGGCTTTTCAGTGAAAACGGCCATTTTTCACAATATGCTCATGGGGGAAAGGGTTAATATTTCGAAATTACGGTTTAAAGGGAGACACAGGCAAAATTTTCATTTCTTAGTTTTGAATTTTTCATTCATTATTCTGTAAAATTCCTCAAAATGAATACACTAAACAGTCACAGAAACAAAACTTTTCTCCATATAAAGAATTAAATGGTGTTTTCCGCGTGGGTCAGGTTAGAGCGCTAAGATTTCACAATAGTTGTCACTGTGTACTCTGGAAACGTTAAAGAACATGTCAAATCAATTACTTCGACTTGTTTCAATCATACAATATCCACAATACCTGTTATTGTAACTTCCAGGGTTTGTTCAAATCACATGACTTGTTTTTAAACTATTCGGTGATTCTGTTGGCGTCTAAATTTCGTTCAACATATATAGATATATTTAAGCTTCAAACCCAAAATAAATAGAATTTATACAGAAATTCATGCTGGGACTTTAAGAAATGTCATTTTAGGGTAATTTGAGTACAGAAGATCATTTTTATATTTTTGTCATTATTTTGCCCGAGTATCCCTTTAATATTAAGTAAAACGTTTTTTAGTTTTTTTTGTAAAACTATTTAATATTTCGTAAAAACGAATTAATATTTCGTAAAAAGGAATTTATATTCGTACTAAGAAATCAGAAATCAATATATCGTAAAACGAATCAATTTTTTGTAAAAACGAATTATTGTCTCGAAAGAAACCACATAAATATTTCGTAATTACGAATTAATATTTCGTAATTACGAATTAATATTCCGTAAAAACGAATTATTACTTCGTAATTACGAATTAATTTTTAAAGAAAAACGGAATAAGATTTCGTAAATATGAAGTTTTATTTCGTAAAATCGAATTAATAGTTCGTTATAACGAATTAATATTTCGTATAACAAATTAAATGCCGGGGAAAAGTGTCGAAAATGTCACCTTAAGGGCTCCGTTTATTTGTACTTTAGCGTCGACAAATTTTATTGTCCACCTCAATTCTTTCGATTTGACAACTAAATGAAACGATTAATCTAAAAATAGCATAATTAGTCGAACAGTAGAAAGGCTTTAAAAGGTCGCTCTTTAAATATTATTATTTTTTGTAAGAGATTGATATCAGAACTATTTTTATTCGCGCCAGACATGTTAGACAGTTCATAGAATAAATGCATTTTTAATGAATAGGATTTAGATATGTAAGCAAAAAAGGCTACATGAAACAAAGGAATTACTTGTATCTTTATGTATTGTTTTTTGTTTGTTAGTTAATTTGTTTATTGTTTGTTTGTTTTTCCTGTTTTAATTTTTTTTTTTTTTTTTTTTTTTTTTTTTTTTTTTTTTTTTTTTTTCATATAAATGAAACACTTACGTCTGTAGTGAAAACAATAACAGCGTTGTCCATTATGCCCTTTGTTTCAAGAGCATCAGTAATATCTCCTACCGCTTCATCTAATGCAGACACCATCCCTGTAATATTTATTTTAAAATTAAAGTAATTACACCAAGTTGAAATTTATATGGTACCTTTTATTTTTTCTTGTGTAAATCAATAACTTTCCTTCATTGTCTTATAAACTATTAAATAATAATGCTTAAAATCATTATTCCTGTATAAAATATATTAATGCGGGCTAGATTAGGGTACTTTTTAAAAGCATTTAGCATCTATGCTTACCTTTTAACTGTGATTTGTTGTAAAATCGTTTTAATGATGATGTGAAAATAATTACTAAAATGAATATGAAAATATGCACGAATCAAAGCAATAATATAACGTTATTTTGATTTACTGGAAGGGAATTGATCGGTGTATTACCAAAAAAAAAAACACTTCTTTTTTAATGGTACACATTATATCATTAAAATTTTGATGATCTAGTGAATTGATACAACATTTTAAATTCACGGGTGTATTATCTTAATCTGATTAAAATCAGTTCTAAATAACGCTCCAATTTCAGATCTGACCGTGACCCATTCCGAAGTCATTTATTATGACTTTTCACACAGCAAGTCATTGGGGAGGTTTCATAATTTTGAAAGCGACGCGGTTTCTTCTTTTGACCCTGGGAAAATCAATACTGAGTGGGTAATTTTCACGATTTCGAGAACAAAACAATTTGCCCATTTAAAAATAAACACTATTACTTCAAGTTAGTTTGTTAAAATTACTTCACACATTTTTTCTAACACAATTAAACGATTTGTTAAAAGGGATTACGGTAATTTGATATTTCTGCTAATGCCTATCTGAAAAATCCCAGTTTTATTGTATAGCTAAAAAGCTTTCTTTGAAAATCCGAATTATAAGGAAGGCAAAACATATTCGGTCGTTATCAGATCTACAGGAAAGAAATAAGTAGATCTGAACTTAAGTCAGATAGGTATTATCTTTATCTACACATCGTATGCTTCTAGAACAACAGAGATATGTTTCTTTCATAAATGTTGAGATATTTATTTAGCTGAAAAATGAACTAAAATTAATCAATAACAATTTCATTTAATTTAAGATTAAATTTGAACTATAAACTTATGTTTAAAATGATTTACTTTTCATACATTTTATATGTTTATTTCTTAAGTAGTAGGTCAAAACTGGTATTAGTGAGCGTGGACTGTGAAAATACATTTAAAAACTGCCCAAATCATTTCATTTTTTCAAAGTAAGGATTAAGATGTACAACTTTACCACAATACGTCCTCCTGTTTTCGCTCATATCGGCCGGATACCACTTTTTGTAGCGTTTTGGAACCTGCCAAAAACAGATATTAATTAGTATGATTATCATATAAATCACTAACGCCCGCATTTGTATACAAGTTTTACATGGCAAAATGAAATAAAGAAGTCCTATAAATTTGAAGAACATATTATATATCTTCATCGTTCTTAAGTCACATATTGACATGGTTAACTTCATAAGGCAATGTTACAAGCCTCAGTGCATAATTTAAAAAGCGGCGTTTGTGTAAAGTAACCGACATTCCTCAAGCCACTGATTCCGTTAAGGGAGCTAGATAGCTTCTTGGTTTTTTTGTCCAGAGTGACTTAAATATTGGAACCCATAACAATTATATTTTCCATGTTAGAAATTTATATTCAAGATGGCATACCGTGTATTTGATAAAAAAAAACATATCTCACACATATAAACGATTCCTGTGCCATTTGTAAACAAATGTGTCGGTATTGATCAGCTTCCTAATTCTCGTTGAATATGTTTTGTTGTTAAGGTTATACACTTTCACATTATAATGGGCTATTTAGACAGCCTCCAAATTGGTGGGGTATTTAGCTAAGATAAACAGTAAATAAACACGTATTTACCTGGAATGGACCATGCACAGATTGGAAAGCAATGTATAAATACAAAGGCTCAGTTTCAGTATTTGATTCATTGATTATATCAATAACACGGCTAGAAAAAAGTTTCTGAAAAAATAGCATCATTTTTCTTTTATAAAATACAATTAAGAAAGAGTCATAATTTGGTCTAATACACAGTCTGTAAATTTTTTTAGCGCAAGTCTATTTCATTTTCCACAATTGATAACATTAAATGCAGTCAATGCTAACTTCAAACTTAGAATCTACCAGTATGTCATTACACCAACAAAACTAAAAATATATGTCTACTTTTTAAAGCAGCACATTTAAGATAAAAATAATGTTGTTTTCAGCTATGAAAACTGATTTATTTTATCTTTATATTGATTTTTCACCTTTTCAGTATGGCTAATTTGATCTCAGGAGATCTCCACTGTTCCATAATTTTATTAAAAACCTTGTTTTGAATTAAATATTATATAATAATTTTTACATGTCAGAAATATAAATTAACACTTTTCGTTTAATAATGCCTTACGTGTTTTTAATCTAATAAGACATCGAATCTAATATTGTTCTTATACGAAACAGATGATTTACCATTATTCTTTAGCTCAAACATTTAATGAAATACGTACAATTACATATTACGTGTGAGAAAATATATGTAAGAGTCTACTAATATAAGGTGTATTTGATACAAATACATCTCACACAAACCATTCCTGTCTCATTTGTTAACATATATGTAGGTAATGATTAGCTGCCTAATTACCGTTGAGTATGTTCTCTTTTTAGGGTAAAACACTTCCTTATTGAATCTGAAATCATACCATTTTGCTGAAAATAGAGTGATTGATATAGAAGCACAATTAACATCATTGCAGTTTGATCACAAACAAAACACACGCACGCACACACACGCACAAACGCATGCACGCTCACGCACACATACGCGTTTAATTTACAACTGAACAGTATGTTGTAAATGGCATAAAATAATATGGCATGATTAATTAATATATTTTCAGTTTGATTACAAGAATATTATCATTGGAAACACATTTTAATTCTGATTTAGTTGTTGTATAAGGATATGATCATCATTTAACCTAGGAAAGAAAATAACAGTATTGTGCTTTCAGTGACCATCATATTTAAAATTTACATGTTTACATTTTGTCTTGAAATATATACTGAGAATATTGAAACAATGTAATACATTATTATAAATATATTGTGTTTTTCTAGTTTTTTTTAATTGGACAGTTGAGGACAAAATGAGTTTTAAGGATCCATATCTGCCTTAATCGGTTTCATTTCCTGTCATGAACAAACTCAATTTTTACAAAAACATATATGTGTATTATGCTTTGGTGGGTATCTCGATTCCTATAGGTTTTACCTGAATTCTTCTTATATTTGTAAAATCAATCGATGTCTAGATGGAGAGATAACTTCTTCATATTAATTCAATTATTAAGAAATACGGTCATATTAAATTTCACTACGCAATATTTAAGATTTATAAATAAATTTGGGTTTTTATTGATTGGATTTAAGATTTGAACCATTTTTATTTTAATAAAAAAGGTAACCATGGCCACAATCTTATTTAATTTACAAACCTTTTGTAACGTGGTTTACTTGTATAGGTTCAATGATTTCCTCAGTCATGTTGACTACGTCAGATAGTCTCATTTCTGATAAATAAAAACTGAATTTATTTGAAATGGTCATATAGTTGATCTTTTGTCACATTGTTTACTAGTAATTAGAATGTTCATGTGGTTGACCTATCGTAAATTGTTAATTGTAACAGTCACACAATAGAACAAGAAAAGGAATATCCGAGAGGGCCTGGCTTGTTACAAAAGTAGGTCGACATCAAACATTGTAAGATCTAGGTAAAAGGTTATTTTGGAAAACAAATGTACAATAAGTTCACGTTCATTTGATAATTGAAAATCTAATTAAAATTATGTTGGTTGAAATCAGTAAATATTGTAGACAAATAGTCCTTACTGGACTTATGACTGAAGTATCCTTCGGCCCCTCCATAGTAACCATAGAAAGAATCGAATCCACGATACGTCGGTGTATATTTCCAATTACAGTACCCCAAATGCCATCTGAAAGATTTTAAATACATTTCATACAATATGAGTATTTCTATCAATAAAAATGAATTGAAAAAAAAATAGAAAATGATAAATGGTACGATATCATTTGACACTTTTATCATTTGGAGGAGTTTTCTTTGCGGGATATCAACACCCTTTGCAAAAGGCAAAGTACTAGTACAAATGGCAAGTACCTCATCGGCTTTTCAAATATAAGTTTGCCTGAATTCACGCCCAGTTGCCTTAAATTTTGAGAAAATAAGATATATAAGAATCAGACAACTTCTTAGCAGACAAGCATTTCCCTTCTTACAAAGGGTAAATAATGTCATGAACATAATTATATGTTAATAATCTGTGAGATAATTAAGTTGACACTTACTTTCCTATAATATGTGTTGAATATCCTAAAGTCTTCAGTTTTTCAGGCAATGTTTCAAATTGTTCAGGAAGAGCTCTAGCTTCGTAGTTTTTGATAATACTGTGCTGTTTTAGAAATAATAGTGATGTATTACTACCATTTTATAAATATAGCTGTATAGCTGTAACTATAGTGAACGTCTTATTCTGGTTATTCATTTACCTGTTACTATCTTATAATAGGGAAATGTAGCACTGTCAAATCTTTCTTTAAAAAATCATCTTATTAAAAAAAATCCTACACTATATCTTGAATTTTAAGTATTAGATAAGTTACCTGTAATCCTGTGTGGAATGGGTATAAACCAGTCATGAAGCAATTCCTTGATCTGAAAAAGGTTTAAGTTTATAAATATTTTTTAATTTGTAATCTATTTCAAACTGTCAATGCACTTTTGAAACATGCACTCCTTATAAATACATATGTATATCTATAAATGGGAAAGATTTTGAAGTCACAACATACGAGGGATGATCAAAAATAAACCGGGCTGGGGATGTAAATTGAAGAATTTTCCAACTATCACCTATTGTTATGTATCACAATTAATCGAAAAACTATACCATATCTAATTTGTTAAAAAATTCTAATTTGATAAACCAAATACCAAATTGTACGCGAATAAAAAACCATGACAACGCACACCCGGTGCAGTGCATAAATTTGCCCTGACAATAGGCGCAATATGACACAATTAGATTTAAAAATACGCCGAAAGGTCATGAGCCATATTTGACGTTGTCAGAAAACATGACTTCATTTAAACAACATTTATCCTTGCAATCACAATTCATATGTCACTTGTTAAAGAAAAACTCTCGTTATCGTTAAAATTATGTCGTCGGAAGGTCACGAAATTCGATCAATAAGAAATTGTGTCAATCGTTAGTCGAGAAACTGTTTAAAACATAGAAAGGGATAATGGAAAAGCGGAAAATGTAAAAGTAGCCACAGCACTGTTTTTGATTGAAATAAACGATTCAGAAAGGTGGATTGAGAAATTGAAAAAAAAGGAAAATAAGGGAGAGGCAGAAAGAAGAAAAATTTAAGGACGTTGGTGACGTCAATCGCCGAAAGAGACGTTGAAAAGAGGCAGACGATTGACTGCGGACATTATAAACGATGTTTTACAGTAGCTACGGGACAGTGCAATTAACCCTAAGTAAGGAATTTAAAATGTCAAATAGTAAAGAAATTATAATCACACTGGCCATAGATTTTGCAGAAGCGGTTGGTTCATCGCAGTGGCGATGGAGATTTCGCCGCAGAAGCAGTGGATAAAATATGCCGTTTTCTGCTGTCGGTCAGTTTATGACTTAATTTTACTGCATGGTCAAATGTTTTACCGGAATCACATAGTGAGACTGGAGCCTACATATGTACCTTTCCAACTTATTACACGCACACGGTTCAATTCATTGTCATTTTTGCTAGCACTTATGTACAGTTTGGCGTGGGGACGCCACTTTTGCCTACGGGTTTAATTGTGTGCAAAACGACCCTTAAATGCACCAGCATTACATCATATGAAAACAATGTAATATTTGTACCAGAACAAGCATAATTTGGAATTTTTGAAAATTGTTATTGTCTTTTTATAAAAGAATTTACAAACAAAAGATTACATCAGATGGCGTTGGATTTGATTGCAACGCAGTGCGATGGTCCCCAAACCATTTATGTCTAATGTGAGTGTTTAACTTGATATAACGCATTTTTCAATTTAGAACAACAATTTTCCCACGTTGACATCGTTAACGTCAAATTCTAAAGTTATACGTGCGACGGGTCGCTTTACATGCACATTGCAATAACGGCATAACAATTTCATTTTGTTAATGTTTCTTGTTGTTATTTTTTGTTTCATATAGGGGATACGGATATATTCCAAAATATGTTCCGTGTATTTTAATGTAAATCCATCTTACATGATATCCTCACATATTTTCATGTCGTGGTTAAATAATTAGGCATATGAAAAACAATTTTTTACGATTGCATGACCTGAAAATTTTTATTTTCCTTGCTATTTTCCTTTTTACATATACATATACATTTACAAGGAACATTAAGCATATGTGTCATTCACAGGGGTAGAATAAATATTATGGTAACGTATATATTAATATAAATACTGGATATAGACAAAAAAAAATATTGCAACGTTGAACGTTGCTTACTTATCAATAAAATTATATGTGAATAAAGCAGGAAGTCTGAATTTAATTGGAAACATTTTCGTCCATTGGAAACGATGTTAAAGTAAAGTATATGTATTATAAGAATAAAGAAATAATAAGATAAAAAACAAGTTATTGAAACCTAGAAGCATGCAATAAAAACGTATTAAACACACAAAAGAAAGTTTTATGTTCAATATGTCATGTGGTCTTATCACATAATGCTAATCGTTATTTGGGTTAAAACGATTAGGCGTTTTTGAAGCCTTAGTACAAAAGGAGTCTCGCAGATCAAACGCTTCTGTGTGACACCTAAGACTTTTACTGCACGAAAGTTAAATCAAAACAATAATTGAAAAAACCTGAATTGTCTATATTTGTGTTTTCACTATTGTATAATTTTATAGCATTGTTTAAATGAAAGTAAAATATAATTATTTACTGCATATTCTTCATTATTATATGATCTAAAAATAGTTGAAATCTCATTGTTTAAAACAGTATACAACATAAGTATTTGTAAAATCATGTTCACTGAGTGAAGTATCATATTCCCTGGGTGATGTATTATATACACTGATTAAATTAGATGTTCCCAATAAAAATAGATTGTGACTCATATTCAATTACCACGGTAGGGAATCACGTGAGTTTTACGGTTACACGTACAGACAATATGGCGGCCTAAAAACCTCGCTCCACATGTGTTTTTCAGGTAATTCTTTATTATATCCATTTTACTTACATACGAGACATGTTGAAGCCTATGCGGAATAAAGAATTGTTGCCGCCTATACCTTTTTTCCATCCCCGTGCTCATAGCTTTTACAAACACTCAAAAATTCAACAGAACAGGAATGTTAACAATTATTTTGCGGTTACATTCAAGCAAAATTTGTCTTATTTATGACTTTGATTAAACTACGTCGAGTTAGCAAAAAGAAAATGTTCATAGAATTTCTTTATTTGAAAATGTAAAAATTAGGTAAATGTTGACTTATTATTTTTTATTCCAAAACACGAAAGAAATATGATTTGGGTAACGACCAAATGTACTTTTATTGTTGATAATTCCCACGCAATAGTTTATGTGCAAGAAATATCTTTGCAGGTAAAAGCCTTGATATTGATTTAACAAAATCATGATTGATGCAATTAGGCTCAAACTTTCAAGGAATTTTAAATAATGATAAAAATACCGCCAATAGGTCCTGGATAGAATAAATCCAGCAGACATATTGACGTCGTAACAACGTGGAATTATGGTCAGATTGTAACGTTGAAATAACGTAGGATTTATGGTCGGATTTGAAAGTTTAAACAACGTTGAAATTCAATATTGGCACATACTATAATTTCAATATAAATCAAAGTTACAAAGTTTAAATGTTTACAAAAAAATCAAGACACTATTAAATACTTCAGATATTTTATTTCAAAAATACTTTTCAATTGAAGCTTAAATTCTAATGATTTAAGAAGTCCTTTCCGCTACAATTAAGCTACAATATGTTCCACTCTACTACTAGTACTTCTTCTAGATCGCTCCTAATATGTCTTAAGTGTTTCATGATGGTGTTTGAATACTTCTTTGGCTGTCTCTTACTGCTTCTGCTAATAGAATAAGAAGTTACTTATTAAAAGTGACATGGTCAATCTCAAATTATATATATAAATAATCAACTTAGTGATATGTTTTATCTCTAAGATTTACATAATAAAACGGCATAGACATTAAAATACGGCTGAAGTTTCATAATGACAGCAAATAATGTACATAAAACAACAAAAAAAATTTTAACGGAAGCTATTTAAAGGTCCCACCTATGATTGGTAAGAAAACGTGCTCCCCATCAGTTACTTGCAGCATTTTCTCAAGAAATATTCATTCTAGGTTCTACCTACGACCATTGTATGCAGCATCCTGAAAACAACAAATATGTAAATTTTATATTATTAATGTTACAAAAGTATTCTGAAAATAATATACATGTGTTATTAATACAAGATAGTAAATATCCAGTAGTTGCAATATAAATACTTTGCATTCTGTAAAAAAATATACATGTATTTATTAAGACAAGATAAATGTCCAGTAGTTACTTTGTACAGAAATATATATATATATATATATATATATATATATATATATATATATATATATATATATATATATAATATATATTATAATATATATATATATATATATATATATATATATATATATATATTAAATATTAGAATTTCAATATAAACTAAAATTTAGAATTTCAATTTAACAAACCTGGCCGTCCTTTCCATGTTAAATGTATGGCATACAAGCTACAGCTGCAAGACTCTCAATTTCAGCCAAGACCAGGATCTATTATATAAAGATAGATGTATTATTCCCTATAAATTCACGGCAATTAAGTTTAAATTCTTACAGTCAAAAACAGTTTAATCAATATTTGTTTCGATAATGCAATGGATATAATGTATTTTTCAAACTAATTTACACTGAATCAATTTTACTATCACTAAGATATAAATACAGTTATATTGACGAATCATCTTGGGACGTTCATTATATGGGCCGAACAACACTTCGTCTGCTTATAGGTTACAAAAATATGATATTAAATAAATTTCAAAAAGGCATGGCCTTTAAATTCAAAAATTGCCAAGGACATTGATAACTTCGCGTAAGGCCTTCCAATCCCAAATCGTTCAATTAGGTCGCGATTTAATACAAAAATCTAAAATATTAGAAGGAGGTTTTGTGTTACTGTTTTAGTACAATTACAGTTGACATTTTTCATATTTTGCAGATATGAAAGTTTCCAGCTCGGATATGGATTGTGATAAATGTGGGAAACATTTCATTCACCGAACGACCACATCGGTACAGGACCTTATAAATATTGTGGTACCCGGCAAATCGGAAACGTTACGGGTTTTACTGTTAATATTAAGATAACATTTAAACATAAGTCCTCTAAATTTTATTACCTAGTTTGTAAAATAAAAGACCCATTCTAATATTCTTTAGGGTTGTTTTTTTACTTTAGATTAAAAAAGATACTTAATTATGTTAAATACAGATGTTTTAAAAATAATTGGTTACATAAAAGACTAAGTGATTAAAATGTATTTAAAATCTTAATAATAACAGTAAAATGCCATACCTGTGACAGTTTGCCACAACGTTTACAAGGTCCTATGCCGAGTAGCCAGTTTATGTGGTCATAAAGACATGTCCGTGAACAAAATGTTTCCAACATTATCCACAAACAATATCCGAGCTGCAACCGTCCATATCTGCAAACTATGAAAAATGACAACTGTAATTGTGCTTAAACTGAAATCGACTTCATTCTTATAGTTGAGACTTTGCTTTTAATTTCTGCGATTAATTAATCAATATCTCTTTATCGAAACTTCATTTAATATATTTATGTGAGTATGTATTCTGCTACCCATAGGCGCTTAATTCTATCCAGGACCTTTTGACGGTATTTTAAATATTATTCAAATAAATTCTATAAACGTTTAATGCTAAATTCATCTTTCATGATTTTGTTAAATCAATATCTAGGCTATAACCTGCATAAATATTGATTGCTCATAAAATATTGTGTGGGAGTTATCAAAACTAAAAGTACGTGTGGCCGTTACCAAAACTTTTTTTTCTCATGTATTGGAATAGAAAATGATAAGTCAACATTTAACATGCCTTATATTTACATTTTCAAATAAAGAAATTCTATTAGTCTTTTCTCTTTGCTAACTCGACGTAGTTTAATCAAATTCATAAAAAATACAAATTTTGCGTGAATGTTACCCGCGAAATAATTGTTAACATTGAAAATTCCTGTTGAATTGTTGAGTGTTTGTAAAAGCTATGAGCACAGGGGTGGAAATTAAGGTATAGGCGGCAACAATACTTTATTCCGCGTAGGCTGCAACAGGTCTCGTATGTAAGTAAAATGGATATAATAAAAACATACCTGAACAACACATGTGAAGCGAGGTTTTTAGGCCGCCATATTGTATGTACGCGTAACAGTAAAAATCACGTGATTCCCTACCGTGAACAATACTAAGAACACTGTAAAATACTCATGCACATAAAAATAATTGTTGTGTTTTGATCTTTATGTCATCTTTCTGGATTAAAGTATCTCTACATTACTTTAATAGTTAGACGTTGCATTGGAAACAAGCAAACGTTGTGTTTTGTAATTCCTTACAATGCTTTACATTGTGTTTGTTTTTTTTTTATCTTTGCATATTCATATAATAAAGCAGCTCTTGACTGATAAGCCATTAAATATAATGTGACATTCACTGGCAGATAATTATTTTGACTATGGCTATCGCTACGGTCAATATTTAATCTGCCTGTGAATATCACATTATATTAAATGGCTCACTAGTCAATAATTGTACAATAAAGCATTTATCGTACATTTAACTGATTCATTACTGCAGAGATGTACACTGTTCAACTTGACTTGTAACACTTACGGTGTACAAACTTGTTGTACATATGATGAATCAAGAATGACACCTTGTCTTGCTAAATTGTCTAAATTTGGTGTGTGCATTTCAGGGTTGTGCCATCCAACATCATTCCAACCTAAAGTAAAATATGAAAATACCATGACTTGAAGCAAATCGTCTTTGCCTAAAGCTAAGTTATTTGTATAGTTCATATTTACTTACTTCTAGTCAATTTTACTTTGCCAATTTCAAATCATTTTAATACCGAATAAGTATCTGATAGGTTAAGTAATTTACTTTTATAAAATAGATAATATCAAATTATATAAAACGATATATGGTTTTGAATAATAATCCATTTTTCTTTACATTTTATAAATATTTCTTAAGATATTTATATCCACAATAAACACAACGGTGAACCAATTCGCACATTTTCATTACAACAGCGTTCCTAGACTATTTTATCCAGAAAAGTAGAAGAAAAAAAGTAAGGAAAAGTAAAAGAATTTTTCAATGAAAACATTAAAGTGGAAAGTGAGCTAAATAACGACAGATTTTTGCACAACTTCACACACTTCAATTTGGCAACAATATGGTTCGAAATCCGTGTAAATTTACTTTTCACAAGATCAAACGTTAGAAATAGCGCACTGAAATGAAGAAAGTGCATTATTGGAGAGGTCATGAGACCTCCCCAAAGTGATCAGACTGATTGCTGGCGGCATCCATTTTTGAGTATCTGATTGTTAACTTAAACGAAAAATTAACACCAGTGTGAACAAATCGGTACATAGAAAAATCGGAAAATATCATTTACGTAACTAAGTGCTATGTGAATGTTTCATTCCGTTTTAATCTTTTTAACTGTACCGTAACTTTGCTGCTCCTTAAACTTTTGAACCGGTATGACTAAATAACGCAACGGAGATTATTTGGCGCAAAGGATACAAATTTTACTCAAATTTGATTTTCTTTTGGAGGCATGCAGCTTTATAAACTGTTCATTCCAATCAAATGATTTTTAAAAAAAATGTAAATCCTGGACTTAAAATTGTTTGATTTACAGACTTTATGCCCGTTTTGGAAAATGTAGAGGAAATGTTTCCCTATACTACCAAAACATAAACTGAAAACTTTTTTTTTGGTACCACGTTTAAGGCCCGTTTATTTAAGAAAAAATAATACAATACAATAATACAAACCATGATAACTTTAGCATTTTCATTGATTTGTAGATAATTAAAAATAAATTTATTTTGTTATGTTTTTAGTTAGAATATATAAGACATTTTAAAAAGTTAAGAGGTTCATTCATTTATACAATTACACAAGAAAAGGGGCAAAAGGTTGAAAAGTAAATAAAAAGTAAAAAGTAAATAAACTGCTTTAGTAGCATTTTTTCTGCATGTACTATTTAGAAATCAAACAATTCAATTACATTTATCCAGCAATTTTCAAATTCTTCTAATGTATCATTTTGTAAAGCAACAAATCTTTCAATTTTTAATCTGTTTAAAAATTTTCTTTTGAAGATACTTATATCTGGATTTTTTTTTCAATTTACTGGTATAAATGTAATATTTTGAAAAGAGAAAAATATACGATGTTTTCTTATCTTTAGCATGAAAGAAAGAAGTAAAATTATCATACGTAACATTTATTGCTATTTCATTAAGTTATTTGAATAAATTATTCCAGAATATTTGTACTGTTTGGCAGTCCCAAAATAGGTGCTCTATACTTTCAACATCCATAAAGCAAAAATCACAGAGACTAGATTCGGTTAATTTACATTGAAGGTAAAATTTGTTTGTTGCAATATTCCTATGTAAAAAATTATAATATGAATTACAGAAAGTTTTCTAAAATATTATCTTTGCAATAAACAAAAACGTTTTCGTAAATATTTTGCCATTGAAATTCTTTTTGAGAGAATCGTTCTTCCCATTTTATTTGAGATTTTGTTTTTTTATTTTTACAGAGTCTTATTTGTTTTTGAATCTGTGTTAAACGGAGACACAGGCAAAATTTTCATTTCTTAGTTTTGAATTTTTCATTCATTATTCTGTAAATGCCATCAAAATAAATATATTAGACAGTCAAAGGAACAAAATTTTTCTCCATATAAAGAATAAAATGGTGGTTTCCTAACTTGACCCGCGTGGGTCAGGTTAGAGCCCTAGCATTTCACAATGGTTGTCAAAGTGAACTCTGGAAACGTTAAAGAACATGCCAAATGAATGACTTAGGATTGCTTCAATCATACAATATCCACAATGTATGTTATTTTAACTTCAAGGGTTTGTTCAAGTCACCTGACTTGTTTTAAAACTAATAATAATAATTCTATTGGTGTCTAAATTTTGTTCAACATATATCGATATGTTTATGCTTCAAACCCAAAATATATAGAATTTAAACAGAAATTCATGCTGAAACTTCAAGAAAAGTCATTTTAGCGCGATTTGAGTACATAAGATCATTTTAATATTTTTGTCATTATTTTGCCTGAATATCCCATTACATTGTTACTAATATTGGACGTGTTTGTTTTTTCTATGATGTCAAAAGTGCTTATTTCTTTAGGCGTTGAAGTTTGATTAATTTGTTGTAGTTTACGTTACCATTCTTTGGGTATTGATGAAATGAATTTATAAAAGTTAAATATTTCTGTATCAGGAATGTCAAAAGTAAGTTTCAGCTGGTCAAAGGTTTTAAATTGTTTTGTTTCAGTGTTAAAAATATCCTTTATTTTATTGACAATTCGACAATTCCAGTTTGGAAAAAGAATTAAAGATCCATTATTTTTTATGTGTGAATTCTGCCATATTATTTGGTCTAATAGATTTTGTGGATTTTTATTAAAATTTAGTTTAGTCCATGACAGTAGTAATTCTTTTAAGAAAGTATTTTCGATTTTAAGTAACTGTATATCATATGTGTTTAAATTACTTTTAAATATGTCTATTCCACCTATTTTTGTAAATTTTTCTTTATGATCTCTTTCCACAATCCATGGTTATTTTCATCAAATATTCTTTTGATCCAGCTTGATTTAATCGAGTTCATAAAAATCGGCAAGTCTATCATATTTAAGCCTCCATATTCAAAGCCTTGTATAATAACATCCCTTTTAACTTTGTCTTTTTCGAGTGCCATATAAATTCAAAACAATTTTGTGTAATTGTTTTCATAATTTCTTCAGGTGGACTCGGAAGAACAGATATTATTCAGGTTAGTTTGAAATAATTAAGGATTTTAAAATTTATATATTGCCAATTGTTGTTAAATGTCTTGCTCTCCATCTATTAATGTCTGCTTTAAATTGGTTTAATTTATTCTCGTAATTATTTTGGTTATTAAGTCACATTTTGAATGGAAAGTTATGCCTAATGTTTTTGCACATTCTGAGGGCCAAATTATATTTGAATGTTTTTTTCTACAATAGATTAAATCATGTTGATTTTTAAGTGAACCTATTCTGAGAACTGTACATTTTTTGTAATTAAGTTTAAGACCAGAAATAAAGGAAAATTGTTCAAATATGTTCAAAGTTTCTTCAAAGCTGCTTGATTTACCATTTAATATTATAGTTGCATCGTCTGCAAACATGCTATTTTCAACTTCTACATCAAAATTTTTAAAACCTTCAATATTCCTATTTTGTCTTATAGCTATTGACAATAGTTCATTTGCTAGGATAAATATATAAGGAGACAATGGACATCCTTGTCGTACTCCTCTTTTTATAGGGAGTGACTCAGACAAAAAACCATTGTAAAGTATCCAACTCGTGGATCTTTTGTAAATAAGTTCAATCCATGCTTTTAAATTTGGTCCAAAGTTAAAACGATCTAATGTTTTAAATACGTATTTGTAGCTTATGCTATTGAATGCTTTCCAAAATCATCAAAAATTAGAAGTCCCGGTTTATCATTTTTTTCTGCATACTCTATCACATCATAAAGCAATTTTATATTTTCACCTATGTATCGCCCTTTAATGAAACCTGTTTGACTATCATCAATGAGTGTATTTAATACCCGTTTAATTCTATTAGCGATAACCTAAGTAAGTATTTTATAATCTACATTCAGTAAACTTATTGGTCGCCAGTTTGACAATATTGATAAATCTTTATTTGGTTTAGGAATTGGAGTTATTAAACGAATTGGAGTTATTAAACCTTGTGTTTGTAGCTGACCAAGACAATTAATTTCAAAAGAAAAATTCAGAGCACTTATCGCACTTATCAAATCATCTTTTAAATAATTCCAAAATATTTTATAAAATTCTATACTTAAACAATCTGAACCTGGACTTTTTCCATTTTTCATATCTTTGATGGCAGTTTCGCATTCAGTTTGCGTAATAATTCCTTCACAAGATTGTTTTTCGTTTTCATTTAGTTTTGGTGTTGTTTCGCCATTGAAAAAATTGTAATTTGAGGGAGTTTCGTCTTGAATGGTATATAGATTCTCATAGCATTTTTTCTGTTCATTTAAAATGTCTGTCTGATTTGTTAAAATATTACCATTTGCATTTACACATTTTATAAGTTTACTTTTCGCATTTCTTTTTTCTAATCCTTTTAGTAATTTTATATTTCTTTTGCCATTATTTATTTTGTAACTTTTTATTCTAGTAATAACACCATTAATATTTTCAGTATATAAGTTATCCAACTCTGCTTTTTTGATATCTAGTTCTTTTTTTAAATTGTCATTAAAATTTTCTAATTTAGTTTCTATTTCATCAATTTCTTTGACAAGTTTGGTTAGTTTTTCTCTTTCGATTTTCTTTTTATACTTTGAATATTTAATTGTTTCATTTCGAATAGTACTTTTTATTACTTCCCATCTGGTTTGTGGATTTGCTAGTATATTTAATTGTCGTGTTTCAGTAATGGATTTTATTATTTTTTTTTCTTGATATTCTTTATCAAAGAGAAGACTATTGTTTAATTTAAAAACCCCTGGGCCTCTTTTAACTAAATCAAAACTGATATTGAAAAATACAATTGAATGATCTGATCTAAAGCTGGTTTTGATTCCTGTAGTATTAACAAAATTTACTAAGTCATTTGAAACAAGAAAAACAATCCAACCCGCATGCTATATTTACATGTGTTTT